GATGCTCTTGAGACGCGAGGATCATGAGACTCCATGTCGTTTACTCGGTACAGGCTCTCAGGAGGCCTCAGTCCCTGGAGACAACGTCATGCTGGTGAAAGTAGCGGATCAGCAAACAGAGGAAGCCCCTCAGTGAGATGGACTGACACACATGACAGTGATTGTGATGGTGGTGTGGGACCAAGCAGTGTTTCCTCCTGTTGTGTGTCGGAGCGCTGTGAGCTGGAATGGACTCCAGGGGTCCTAGGAACAACACCGTGAACCTTTGTAATACCTGTATCCGTGCAGCATTTGATCGTTGAGAAAGCCTTTTCACACATAATGTCTTACTATACCTCATAGCACACTTAGACATATTTCCATCATCTTTTACATCCATCATCTTTTGCAGAGGAGAGGTTAAGGCTGCATGAAACTATCTAACCCCCAGCACTCCGCAGGGTGTGAGCTACAGACCGTGCATCCTATCCTCTTAGTATGATGCTGAGGAGCTGGGTTAATACGCCTAGTGATGTGTGCACAGCGCCATGCGTAGTAGATGCAGTGTGTTCCCTCTCAGAACTGGCTTCCGTAACAGGCTGCAGAGAGCTTCATTTAGAAATTCTGTTCCCACAGAATGAATAAACACGGGATAAAAGTATGCCCTTATTATTCAGACGTTCATCATTCCAGTAGACTGCTTTATGGAGGGTAATTTTCTTCCAGCAATATTCTTTGGAACAATGGGTGGAGAGCAAGGTTAGCAGTGATTGTCTGAGAGTGACTGCAGTTTCGTACTTAGTGTCACACTCTGCCACCGCAGCCCTTCCAGCTGGCCTCCAGCTTGCCCAGAAGGCTGTTGGCTTGTTTGGACTCCACAGAAGGAAGGTGGATTCCTTAGGCCGTTTGACAACCAAAGAGCAAACTTCCAAGGTATCTGTTCTCAGGATACGTTTATAATTAAACTTAAAATATATCTATCATTTAATTTCTAATTTAAGACTGTCAACTCCTTCAAAAAAATTGCCAACAAATAGGTACCGTGTGTGAACCTAATACCCAACAGCCCTGTGTCTCAGAATCAGGTGGACGAAGGGCAGAGTTGTCACGCAGACCTGCTTGCTGCTTATGTTAATCTGACTCTTTCTCTCTGTGGGAGAGAGAAGAATCCTGGGATCTCTGGGACACAGATGCCTTGGAGAGTATTCAAGTTCAGTGGCTTTGCAATTTGTTTCTAGGCAGTTGAACCCTTTCTTGTAACGGATTCTTATGTAAAACATGAAAAACCAAGCCCATTGCCATTGAATCGAATTCTGACTCATAGCAACCCACAGGACGGACTACACCTGCCATGCAGGGTTTCTCAGACTACTCTTTGTGAGAGCAGGTCCTTAGGGCTTTTGCTGCTGACCGTTTGCTTAGCAGCTGAGTGCTTAACCATTGCTCCACCGGGGATCCTTAGCTCCTGTGCAGAAAGTCTGAATCCTTTGATTGGAACAGCTTCTCCTTGTCCTGACCCAGGCCCCTCCCGTCCTTTAAGGTGCTTTCTGTCCTGGACTGGGCTCACGGAGATTGTTCCCTGCCAGCCCCGTCTGCCTTCAGAGGCTCTAGCTGGGTGGAGGTTGGATGTATGGTCAGGCCGTGGGGCTGCTGCCTCCGACTCAGAGGTGGTATGATTTCACAGCTAGCTGGGGCCCCTGGGGTCCTCAGCCTGCTGTGGCGAGGGTCAGTACAGTGATAGCCTTCTGTACAGATGCCCTCTTAGTGTCTGAACTAAAAGGTACTGTTGCTGACAGCCTGGAATGGGTGCTCCAAAGGATGCTGATGACCAGGACACCTAGCTAATCTTCTTTAGTATCTAGTTTCCATAGTGGGAGTGTCTCCAGTACCAAGAGCCAGCAACCTTCCTTTGTTTCCAACTATAAAAGGTCACAGACTTAGAGGCAGCATTGTTGTTAAATGCTGTCTAGTCAGTTCTGACTCACAGTGACCTCTATAGGATTTCTGAGGCTTTACATCATTGCAGGAACCGGGAGCCTCATCCTTCTCCACAGAGAGGCTAGAGGGCTTGAACCGTGGACCTTGTAGGTCACAGCAGCTCAATGCTCATCCACTGTGCTCCCCCTTCCCGCAGCAGGCTACGCTATGGTGTTTAATTAAGAATTGAGAGTTTTGTTGCAGTCGTCAAAGTGAAGTAAAAAGGTCTGATGCACGGAGCGGGTGGTAGTCACTGCATTGAAACGCTGGCGTGAAGCCCATGTTCTCCCAGGTAAACGATCACATTGACCAAGTCCTGCTGCTAACCAGAAGGTCAGCGGTTCAAGCCCACCAGTTCCTGTAGCAGTGGCAAATACCTGGCCCAGCAAGCAGGTACCCACACTCAGAAACCGGAACACCAGGTGCTGTTGAATCCACTCGAACGCATTGTTGACACCACTTGAGTGACAGAAACGCTGTTGCTACCACGACACTACCTCGGTTCTTCTTGGCAACTGGTAGGTCGGTGTAAAACCCTGATTAGGACCTTACCCCATGGGTCTCTGGGTGGAGAACTGAGGCCGACCGCTTATCCCGTATGAGGTCACCAATGAGTTATCACGAGTGTTCACCAAAGGACGCTTAAGAAATGCAATCTGTGCTGGTTTCAGTGTAGGTGAGGCTTTATTAGTCGATTTTGTAAAATTAGGCATCAAACCCAGATGACAAGGCGGGCAGATGTTCTTTATTCCTCAAGGTCGGAAATTCTTGCCTTTTGATGGTTGCATTTTTATTTAAAGTTTCTACTTCTCAGACAGGTTTCCCTTTCCCCTCCCCTAATTAACCTAATACCCCACCCAGATGCATCTGTGCCTAGGTCAGTGAGCAACTTCTTGGCCCTTTGTTTCCTTATTCCTCAAGATGGACCAGCTTGGGCTTTATTTCTCACAGCTGACTGCCCAGGGTTTTCAGAGGCTGAATTTTTTGGAAGTATAAAACCCAGGTCTTCTTTCCAAACACATCTGCATTGGCTTGAACTGCCATCCCTTCAGTTATTGGCGGAGCATGTTAACCATGTGCACCACCAAGGAACTCACCCTCTTAGAAGCCCTACATTTCCCAAAGGATGGGCATGTTTGAGACCCACTCTCCCAGAGCAGATGGCCAGAGCCTCCTGCGGTGTAGGTGAGGCTCAGTCCCCAGCAGCATAGTTCTTGTCTGTCTGTCTGCCCGCTGTGACACTGTTCTTGAAGAGCAGTGCACATCCAAACGGTTAGAAGAGTGGACTGAGCACCTTGATATGGCCGGCGTGGGATGAGGAGGGGCAGCTTTCTTCATACTCATCGTCCGACCATGTGCCATCCATCCAGAGTCTTGTGCCGTTCCAAAAGGAGCCACAGAAAGGGCTCTCCCATGTTTTTAATGGAGGGAAGCTTGTTCCTGGTTCCCCAGGGTACAGAGTTCTCTATAGGAAGAGCCCCACAGGCTGCCCCGAGTGGCTAAAAGGTTCAAAGCTGGTATCTCTCCTTCTAGCTCAGGAGGTTGGGGGTTCCTTGCCTTGGAATCCAATTTAGTGCTGAGTTGGAGCTGCAACTGAACTTTTCAGCATCATTGCCCTTGGATTCGTTTTCTGTCTCCTAAAAACAGAGGCCTTGAGCCTCCCCATAAGGTCTGTCCATGTGTAGGGTAACCAGGACCCTGCCTCTCAAGTTGTACAGCTCAGTGTACCCTCTTTCAAGTAGACGGCCTTGAGTGGTCCCACCCCCACCCCCAGTGATTGAATGGCAAGAGGTGCACACCTCCCAGCAAGCCTCAATTCCCCCCACATCCGTGCCCTACAAATCCGGAGAGCTCACTGAGACGAGCTCACAACTCCAGTGTGTTGAGAGGTTGGAATGAGGCAATAAGGGAATGGCACTTGAATGTCCGGTTTTATTGTGGACTTGAGCTTGTGCTTTTATTCTTCAAGTTTTCATATGTTTTACCTTTTATTGTTGCTCAGGGGTTTTTTAATAGCTAATCAATAAACTATAGAACTTAGAGAAGGCTGTTTTTATGAAAGATAATACAGACCAGTCACATTCAACCAAAAACCCATGGGAAGGCAGTGCAGGTGGTCACAGAAGATGCATTGTGACAGCCGCTCTAGCAACCCCTGAACAAAGACCCACAGCCTGGAGGATGCTTACCTGGCCACGCGCTATGCTGACGCTGCTTTACAGAAGACTAGGGTGATTTGGAGCCATCAACAGCAGGCTGGTGGGGGCTGCGGTTCTGGTTAAGTTCCCCCACCATTTCCAGGGTGCTCACTGGCCCCAATCCAGGGGGTTCTGCATATCCTTGTATCTTGGGACATTCCATTTATGTCGGTAGTGACAAATCTCGCCCATTGCTTTGCACATTCATGACATGTCTGTCCAAAAGGAGCACCAAGGCAAGGGCAGCACTGGGTGTGTGTTGGCCGGGCCGTGGCCCTCAGAGGTTGGCAGTTATGGCACGGGCTCCCGTTCATGACCTCATATATCTGACACATGTGAGGAGTGTGTGTACTTTTTGTCATCTTACCAATCTTCTCTTGTAAAATATGTAATTTTTGTAAAATCACATACCTGCCTTATAGTCAAACCCTGACGCAGCTCCAAATGCAGTATGTGTGTATTGTGTTGTGTGTGTGTGTTGATAGACTCTTGTAGGCTGGCTACAAAGTCTAACACCCAAGAGCTTTCCATCCAGGGCTGTCTTGTTTATTATGTGAACTTCACATGACTTTTAATGCGCCAGACTGCAAAGCAGTTTGAACTGCAAGATTGGTGGGTTCAAACTCACCAGCTGCTCCTCGGAAACCCTACACAGGGTTGCTATGGGTCGGGATCCACTCAAGGACACTTAACCACCTTATGTTTTCTCCCTCTTACTAGTTGGGAGGGGTGGTGGGGAGAGAAGGAAGGGTAAGCAGTTCTTCACTTGACATGATGTGGAACTGTTGGGTAGGGTGAGAGGTTTTTAAAAGGTGTGTCATTGATCAAGTTTTGTTTTGCTATTAGCTTGCATCTGATGCCAGAAGGAAAGCACAATCTTCATTTACGTTTTGCAAATGAATTCAATGCCTTAGTGGAAGACTTCCTACAGTGAACTGCCCTGCTGAGGAAAGCTTTGAGTCTAATCATGCTTTTGCCTGGTCCTTGCCTTTGAAATCCCAGCCAACTCCTGAATCTGCTCACCTGCCTTCCTTGACCTCCGTGCTTCACTACAAATTGCTCCTGATCAAATATGAATCACTCAAAAGGCAAGAATCATCAGATTGAAAACATCTAGTTTTAATAACTACAAAAAATTAAGTTTCATTTAATTGTACAATTTTTACCATTTTCTTGAAAAAATTCCTACCATGCTTTCACTTGCAAATAAATTAGTTTAGTTGAAACATCTGTAGTATCCAATGGCTGCTATGTTAGGTTACGAGTTGAATTTATAATGTATCTTTTTATATACAAAGTAAAAGTATCTCTTTTTGTTTGTATTTATCACATCAAAAAAGAAAATTCTTAACTTCATTACTCTCTGGATCCATAGGGTATCTGGATATAAAGCAAATGAGGTGGCAGTAAGTTTGCTTTCTCTCTAAACCATTTTTCACTCCTGGTTCTATTTTTGAGGGGTGGGATGAGAGGGTGCTGTTTTTTTAATTCCTGGTTTCCTTTGAGAGATTCTCCTTGAGAACGTGAATAATTACATAATCAGTATTGTATATTTAGCTATCTTTACAAAACAGACAGGAAGGCTATTATTTAAAAAGCACTGAAGGAGAAATTCTATATTATTGCTAAAATTAGTAAATCCCAAAACTTTACACTTTAAAGCTGGTATGGATAAATTTATTTCAAGTGAGAGTGAAGAGACCACAGTGCTTTTTATTCGCGTAGACACATGCTTTTTATTCGTGTAGATACAGACACCACCACAATTGTTAGAGGAGTTCCACATGGCACAACAGTGTGAACTTCCAACAGAGGCAAAACTGAGCACCATAGTATACAAAGAAAGACCATGCTTAAGGACAACAGAAGTTCACTAAATATACACGATTGATCCATAAAGCCCTTAAGCGTCCTCTTCACCCTCCTCTTCTTCCTCGAACTCCCCTTGCTCGTCAGCCGTGGCGTCCTGGTACTGCTGGTACTCGGACACCAGGTCATTCATGTTGCTCTCGGCCTCGGTGAACTCCATCTCGTCCATGCCCTCTCCCGTGTACCAGTGCAGGAAGGCCTTGCGCCGGAACATGGCCGTGAACTGCTCCGAGATACGCTTGAACAGCTCCTGGATGGCCGTGCTGTTGCCGATGAAGGTGGCTGACATCTTGAGGCCACGGGGCGGGATGTCGCACACGGCCGTCTTGACGTTGTTGGGGATCCACTCCACGAAGTAGCTGCTGTTCTTATTCTGCACGTTGAGCATCTGCTCGTCCACCTCCTTCATGGACATGCGGCCTCGGAAAATGGCAGCCACCGTCAGGTAGCGGCCATGGCGGGGGTCACAGGCTGCCATCATGTTCTTGGAGTCGAACATCTGTTGGGTGAGCTCGGGCACGGTCAGGGCGCGGTACTGCTGGCTGCCCCGGCTGGTCAGGGGGGCGAAGCCGGGCATGAAGAAATGCAGCCGTGGGAAGGGCACCATGTTCACAGCTAGTTTGCGGAGGTCTGCGTTCAGCTGGCCTGGGAACCGCAGGCAGGTGGTGACCCCGCTCATGGTGGCAGACACCAGGTGGTTGAGGTCTCCGTATGTGGGGGTGGTGAGTTTCAGGGTACGGAAGCAAATGTCATACAGGGCTTCATTGTCGATAGAGTAGGTTTCATCTGTGTTCTCCACCAGTTGGTGGACCGAGAGTGTGGCGTTGTAGGGCTCCACCACAGTGTCTGACACCTTGGGGGAGGGCATGACGCTGAAGGTGTTCATGATGCGGTCGGGGTACTCCTCCCTGATCTTACTGATGAGCAGCGTGCCCATCCCAGACCCCGTGCCGCCCCCCAGGGAGTGGGTCAGCTGGAAGCCCTGGAGACAGTCACAGCTCTCAGACTCCTTCCGCACCACGTCCAGCACCGAGTCCACCAGCTCTGCCCCCTCTGTGTAGTGGCCCTTTGCCCAGTTATTGCCGGCACCGCTCTGGCCTGCCACAGGGAAAGGGGAAGATTAGACACTAAAATGGAAAGAATTCTGTCAGAGCAGAGAGTCAGACTGCTCTGAAAGTTGCAGATTCTTCCCTTTGTGATGCCCCCTTTTAGCTAGTGACCCTCAAAACCACTGGGATCATAATAAAGTAAAGGGGTCACTCAAGACTATTGAATGAAAGCAGGCAGCTTCCATGAACCCAAGTGCTTCTAATGTTAAGAACAGGATACAGGCTTCATGTAAATACACTCGAGTTCTATAGAATTCAAATGAGAAGACTGGCTCTAAGCTGCTGTCTGAACTTCTGGTCCTGACCGGTTTTCCCCACCTTTGGTCTCTAAGTGGCAACCTATAGTCACTGGTCCTCTGAAGTGACCAGTAGCCTATAAACTATTGTTTAAAGCTTTCAGTGTGCTCTTTATCCTGAGGCCTTCAGAGGTTTAATGGGGAGACTACAGCAGCCCACTACAGGCTGACATTGTTCTTGGAGCTAGAGAGAGAGAGTGACCAGCCAGCAGATGCTCTGGATGGAGTGAGGTCAACACTCAGGCTGTCTGTGGACACACAGCCTTCCACCTCAGCAGTGGCCTCTCAGTTTTGTGATGTTCATGGTTAGGAAGAAGGTAAACCAAGGTAAACCATTGAACCAACCCCAAATGACTGACTACTTACCAAAGACAAAGTTGTCTGGCCTGAAGATTTGGCCAAATGGTCCGGACCTGACTGAATCCATGGTGCCTGGCTCAAGATCCACCAGGATGGCCCGCGGGACGTATTTGTTACCTGTGCAGGATGAAAGCTGCCATTAAACCTGGGGCTAGCAAAGGAATCATGGGAGAAGACCACCAGCATTTAGCTGGCTAAGACAACAATTGTTAAGTGTTGTTGGATCCATTCTTATGCGTAGCGACCCTGTATAGGTTTCTGAGGAACAGCTGTTGGGTTTGAACTGCCAGCCTTGTGGTTAGCAGTCCAGTGCTTATCCTACAGCGCCACACCAGAGACAAAAGTAGAAGAGCATGTTTCTGTTTTCAAAAAGGAGATCCTTAGCATATTCAGCCTTAGCCAAGCATGCAGGGGTCTTAAGGAATGATAAAGTGTATTATTCTTCAGCAATCGACACTAAAATCAATACCAAAAAACATTTCTTTGTCCATGTGTGTTCCAAATACTTTTTTCCACAGTATGGAAAGCCAGTTTAATTAAACAAAAAACATTCAATTAGTTACCTGCAGCCTCGTTGTAGTAGACATTGATTCTCTCCAGCTGCAAATCACTGTCGCCATGGTAACTGCCAGTGGGGTCGATACCATGCTCGTCACTGATGACCTCCCAAAACTGAAATTATAACAAGGAGTAAGAGTGGCCTCCTAACATTATTGATGAAGGCCGTTTTCTTCCTCCTCCTCACGTTTCCGGGGCAGAGAGAGAATCTCTGCACGCCCCCGTTTCTTCCTGCAGCAGCTGCTGCTGAGGGATGAAAATCCGCAGCGCATCGGCCATATTATGGCGACAGACAGCAGAAAGCAGGGAGTGGTCCTGCAGAAGGTGGGTACCGCAGTCCCCTCCTAGAGGCAGCCCTGAGCGCAGGCGGAGATCTTCCCATCTCCCAGGACAGGATGTGGGGAGACAGTCTAATAGGCAGTATGACAGCCAGGTGAGTCTGCTCTGGCTGGCAGGAAGCCCCACCACGCCCTCCTGATGGATGCCTCTGACCGACAGTTCGGTCTCCAGGCACCCACCTCACCAGGCATGGAGGAGAAAGGCCACAAGGTGGTGGGGGCCGACTGGGGGCAGTGGAGGAGCTGGCTCTGGCGATGCGGAGGCTCCATTGGGACCCACAGCAGGAAAGGGGGCAGAGAGGTAGCGGGGGGCAATATGGCGATCTTGGAAGAGGCCCAGTCCTTGCGTACACTGACGCCCACACCCGCACCAGAGCGGCTCCCAGCTCCGCTCTCCCATGTGAGGTACAGCGCGCTCCATCATGCCCCGGCTCCCCCCAAAACTCCAAACCAGACTGTCGTGGTGCAGAGATGGTGTCCAAGGGGAGTCTAGCATCCTGTCTGTGTCGCCCTACCAAGAAGCCTGCCTAACATCTGTCACTCCAATGACATTGCGATTTTTTTTTTTTTTTTTTTCATTCAAAGGCGCACAGAAATACACACGCTTCATTCTTTCCTGAATGACAGTGTAAGTAGCCTCTACCCAGGTTAGAGAGAACCCTTCCCGGAGCGGGCTGCCGATCCCATCTCCACAACTGTCTGTCCGAAGGCACGGGGCTGCGTCGCTGGCGGCTTCATGGCAGCTTGGGCGGCTTCTTGGGCCGCGCCCGGCGCCAGCGCACAGAACCTACGGGCACGGGGCCTCCGCGGCCCGGAGCCCCGGCCTGCGCCCTAACCCGCACCTGCGGGCTCCCAGTCCACGCCCCGCTCCCCGGCTCCGGTCGTACCCTGCGTCTGCTGCCCTGTGCCCTTCCCGACCCCGCGCCAGCCCACCTTGGCGCCGATTTGGTTGCCGCACTGGCCAGCCTGGATGTGCACGATCTCACGCATGGTTCGACTGCGGAGCGGAGGTGGCGGCTCCTGGAGTGCGCACGGTACCTCGAGTAGGAAGCGCAGAGACTGCCTTGCGGCCGCCGCTCCGCCTTTTATACTGAGGGGGGGTGGTTTGGGGGTGAGGGGGTGTAAACGCCGTCCGTCCCGCCCCCGGCCCCGCCCGCCCGCGTTCGTGAGGTCACCGGGAGCGGCCGGCGTGGACGGGGGTGCGGCTCGGTGGCAGGACGGACAGCCGAGCGGGGGTCAAGGGTGCGCGGGTTCTGGGTTCAGAGCCTCTGGGTCGCCGGACCTCAGCCCCTCAGCCGTCCCTTCCCCACCCTGGGCCCGGTCCCCACCCATCCCCCGCCCTGTGGCGTGCAGCAGCGCCCCCTCCACCTGCGCGGGCTCGCGTTTACAGCTGCCCTGCACCCC